TGCCAGCCGATGTTTTCGAGAATCCGCCGTGGCTCGGCAATCGCGAGGCTGCGATTCGCGAGTGCGTCTCGGAAGGGGTTGACGACTCTCGTCGAACTCTCACGTTCGTCGCGTATTTCGCGCACGCGAGCCTCCGTGTACGGTGCATTGCTCGCGTAGCTGACCGTAAACTACGATAACTATCGGGTTGGATGCGAGAGCGCGCGTTGCCCGCGTGCGCGCGCGAATCGAATCGAATGGAATCGCCGGCGAACGAAGGAAAGCTGAAATTAATAACGCAGCTACAGCCTTTCCTCCGCCATCTTTCTCTTTTCCGAGAGCCGAGGAGGAGCACTCTCGGCTCGCTGCTCCTTTCGATCTCGCTCTCGTTCTGATTCCTCCCGCGGATTTCGCTCTCGTTTCGTTTCGTTTCGTTTCGATCCGATAGGTTCCGTTCGGTGCCGGCCCGGATTCGTCTTGCCGGCTCGTCCGTCGCGCATTCCACGATCTTAATGTTGTTCGCATATAACGCAAGACCGTACCGTTGAGTAGCATGCGAGCGCAGGCCTCGCCGCGAGCAGACACCGTGGGAATGTTAGGCGGGCCCGCTGCCGCACTGGCCGCGCCGGCCGCGCTGGCCGCGCCGGCCGCGCGCGCTGCCCTTTCCTCCTCGCTCCTTCTCTTTCTCTGCTCTCGCCGTCTCCTCCTTTCTACCTCGGCGCTCTCCGACTCTCGTCTTCTACTCTCTTTCCGCTGTTTCGGTCTGCTCGTTTTTCTTCTGTTCGGAACCCGCGCGTAACCCCTCGTAACCTCGTCCGATCCTTTCGAACCTCCACGTTCCACCCTTTCGTTCTTTCCGGCGCGTTCGCATCGGACGGCGCGTTGCACGTTTCCGTTCGAATCGGCCGCCACTGTCGCAACCCGGTTCCTCTTTCTGTCATTCGTCGCGTCGCGCCGCGGTTCCCTCGCAACACGAGCACGGAGGGTAGTTGGCGTCGAAACGAGTCGGTAACCTTCTTTCCGTCGAAATTATCATAATGGCTTGGAACAGAAGCATGGCCCGGAGCGACCTTCGCTCGCCTGGAAACTGCCTGGCACGATGCATATTCTCTCGCCATCTTCCGCGAGTCTACGAGAGTCGACGTGCCTCGCCTCGCCTCGCCCCGCCGCGACTCGACTCGACTCGCCTCGACTCGACTCGACTCGACTCGACTCGACTCGATCGGTGGGTTTACGTGTGCTCCCTCGAACCCGCCTCGGTTACCTTGCCGAAGCAACGTCAGCCATACGCACGCACACATCCACGTCGGGTATATATACCCCTCGCACGGTAATTACGTGACGTATTAATACCAGTTATTCCGCGTCGACTGGTTCTCTGCCCGTCTCGATCCGCAGGTGTATTTTGGATCTCTTTCTCTTTCTCCCCGCATTTCCCTCGCTCTCGCGTTCGTCTCTCTTTTTCTCCTTCCTTCCTTCCTTCCTTCCTTCCTTCCTTCCTTCCTTCCTCGCTTCCTTCCTTCCTTCCGTTGATCGCAGCCTGACCGATCTGCCGCTCGCTCCTTCACCTTCCATCCAGCGGGTCGCAGTCTCTCCTCTCGATCGGCCTGCTCCGTCTCCCCTGCTCTCGTCCTGCGAAAGGCATGCACTCGTCGTACAATAGGATGCTTTTACGAGCTCGAGACGATCGACGGAACGCGCGTCGGGACGGAGCGAGCCGATGCCGCGCGAATCGATAGCTGCCACCTTTCGGCTCTTCAATGCATCGACTCGATCCTCTCCCCGGGAATTCGGGAATCGCGCGGCGAACCGTCTCGGAACGAACCGTCGAGAGGACCGATCGCGAGGGGAATCGGAACGCGAGCGCGGTCTCGCTTCCCCGAAAGGTGGTAACGGGACGACGATACGGAAATCTTAATAGCATCGGCTCGCGGTGCTTCTCACCGCGGACGGCCGCCTACTCTGCTCGCCACCTCCGAGCCGGAACCGCCGCTCGCTCGAGGGGACGAGCAACCGCTTATTAGCCAGGTAAAAATCATTCCGTGCTCGCATCGGCCACGCGATACGCGCCTCCTCCGATTTCCCCGATCGTTCTCGCGACTATTTTCCCGCTCGCTTCTCCTCGCTTTTCCGGAAGAAGGTTCGACGAGGAAACGCCGGGCAGCGAAGTATCTTTCTCGTTCCGGTGCGGAATCCGCGCGAGCCTCGACGCAGACGTCCGTCGAAGACCGCACGCGAAGAAGTAGTATCGGCGGTTGCGCGCTCCTGCAATCTCCATTCGAAGCAATTACCTCGCGGATCCTAATGGACCGACTTTCCGTACGACCCAGGTTCCCGCTGGGCCGGTTCCCGGGAAAGATCGCGCGAGCGGCGCGCAGATAACGCGGTCCCCGCTCGAAAACGCGTCCGTCCGAGAGAATTCGAACTCGAGTTTCTACGACGCTTCAGGATGTCTAACGCCGTCGACCCAATGACCCCGTACCGACGCTCGCGCAGGTCGTTACCGTCACCGGAGAAACTACGGGTACTCGGGATTACGGGATATGCTTCTCCTCTGCCCGCTTTCTTCGCCTCATCGCGCGATACTCTCGCCGCGGCGACGGCTGCTCGGAAATCGACAAGGGCGCGGTGTTCGGCGATCTCGTCGATGACCGCCGCCGAATATTCGCTCGGCAATCCGTTATATCGCGAGCGCGATGCGCGCCGCCGACCTTCGTGCAGCGACTTTCACGACCCGTTTCCGTTTTCGCCGCGGTTCGCGGGGATCGCGCGTGCAGCCCGCGAGCGGCGCACCGTGGGCTAGAATCGTGGAAACTCGGACTGATCGCTGGCGTTCTCGAACGGTCAGGGACCGTTCGCCGCGTGTTCCTCGCTGACGATGCGCTGAACGTTTAGGGAAATCGGAAACGTAGACGAATTCCGTTCTCCTTGAGATCCGCGATACTCATCTAGCTATCCAGATACGATCCCCAGATACTTCGCTTTGATATATGATTAGAAACGAGAGGTGTCTCTATTGTCACGAATGTAGGACTTCTCCGAAGACTTCACTCGCGTGAAAGATCGCAACAACTCGCGAAATCGTCAAGCTATTCGAGAAATATCATTCTCCCTGCCGCTGTATTCTCACTATTATTATAATAGAACTATCCATATTTCGCTTCTAATGCGGTAAGCTCGATTCGAAAGTCCCTCGAGGCTCAAAGTATTCAGATATTGGTTCGCAGCATAGAATTATCCTCTCCGTTTGCATTGGCACAGTTTCGAGCGGTGTTCCCTAACGCGGAGCGCACACGCCAACGTTTCACCGTCCGCAACGGTGACGGACGCAGGAAAGTAACGCACCGAAAGAAAGAGCGACTTCTCCGCGAAACGGGCAGCGTTCCTCGCCGCGGTCATCTTAATCAAGGCGCTGTCGGTCGCGCTGGCCGACGAAAAAAATTAGCATTTTAAATGACGCGCTCCGCGGGTGCCTCCGTCTCTGGTTTCGGGGTCTGCTCCCCGGTCCCGGCCCGCCGCTCGGCTCCTTCGCCTTTCTCTCCGGGAGCGCGTTACGCGGTAGCGTCCTCGTCCGCTCGCACTCGCGTCTACTCGAATCTATTCGAGTTTGCCGCGGCCCCGCGCGCCTCCCGGCCCGCCGGCGTTCGGACTGTTTTATTTCCGTTTCGACGTCGACTCCGCGATTCGTTTATCATCGAAGAGGAACGGAAGATTGATCGTCGCTTCTCGATGTTTATAATTATTTTGAAGGATGCCCGACGCTCATTGTGCCCCGCTCTCCGGCCTCTGCGCGGCGATCGCGCGTCGAACGAAGAAAGCGATAAATTCTCTCCTCCTCCGTCCGGACTGCGGAGTGTCGGTCGCCCTCCGCCCCGCAGGCCTCCCCCGTCCGGCCCTCGGTTCCCGGTCTTTCTCTATTTCGCGTTCCCGGCGCGTCCCGTCCCTCTCCGTCAGCTGGAACCGCGCGTCAGCATCATCAATCCACGTCCGAGAGTTCCTCTATGGTCGCGAGCGACGGGTTCTCGTATTCGCACCGGTCCGAGACGCCATGCCGAGCCGGGCCGAGTCGATCGACGACTCCATCGAAATTTCGTCGGGCCGATCGCGGATCCCCGCGCCGGAGAGTCCTCTCCGCGCGGTTCGATCCGCCGCGAATTCTTTTCCGCTCGAGCGAGCCTCGCGAACGAGTATCCGCGTTCGGGCCGACCGCTAACGGTACCGAGCATAAATGCGCCGCGCGCGAGCGTTCCCTCGGACCGCTCGGCACCGTTCTTCTCGCCGCGTTCCGTGGGTGTTCGTCTCGAGAAACGTCGAGTCGAGTCGCTCGCTCGCTCGTCGTTCCGTACCGCGAAAGGGAGGACGACAATTGCGATCGATGTAATCGAGGATTTCGCGTATCGCGCCGCGCGATCGGTACGCGCGCCGTCCCGAGCTCGTAGGTTCTTTCAGCGGAACCACTCGTATGGTAAAAGGCCGCGAGGGGAACGGGAACGGATGGAAAGATAGAAGAGACAGTGTTCGTTAGCTGTGGGGCGGAGGTTGGAATTCAGGCGGTGCGCAGCGGGGTGCCGTTTCTCCTCGGGACCGAGGAGAAAAACGAAGACGAATCGACGCGACGGAGAGAGCGGGACGGAACGCGGTGCACCAAGCGGAGAGGATAGAGTCTCTCGTACGCGGCAGAATCTCTTCCTGCCTCTGGACTCTGTTCCACGCGGACCCGTCGATACCGTCGAATACCTCTCGGCGTGGCCGTCGCCGAAAAATCCTCGCGGCGGAGTTCCGGTCCGCGGATCGCGCGAGGAAGGTCAACGTTTCTCGGCGAGCGCGGTATTTACCTTAGGCCGGGCTAGGCGCGAGCCGTGGAGAGGGCAGAGCGCCTCGCCGCGAGTCGAATCGGATCGAAGATCGCGAGAATCGCGGCGAGCCGGAAGCGTTTCGGCGGTTCCGAACCGGCTCCGGATCGACTGGAGTGTACGATCAGCAGGTTGACGTTTGTCCGTTTGTTTGTTTGTCTGTTGCAGCCGTGCAAAGGGGTCGGGTGCCGCCGTCGCAGCCGTCTCTGCCAGGTCTGCCGGGACAGTTCGCGTTGACGAACGGCGACGCGGTCGCGTGCGCCAGCCTGAACGGCCACTCTTACCTCTCCTCGTATATAAGTTTGCTGCTGCGGGCGGAGCCGTACCCGACATCGAGATACGGCCAGTGCATGCAGCCGAACAACATCATGGGCATCGACAACATCTGCGAGCTCGCGGCGAGACTGCTGTTCTCCGCCGTCGAGTGGGCCAGAAACATCCCGTTCTTCCCGGACCTGCAGGTGACGGACCAGGTCGCGCTGCTCAGGCTAGTATGGAGCGAGCTGTTCGTCCTGAACGCGAGCCAGTGCTCGATGCCTCTCCACGTGGCGCCGCTGCTGGCCGCGGCCGGCCTGCACGCGTCCCCCATGGCGGCGGACCGCGTGGTCGCGTTCATGGACCACATCAGGATCTTCCAGGAGCAGGTCGAGAAGCTGAAGGCGCTGCACGTCGACTCCGCGGAGTACAGTTGCCTGAAGGCCATCGTCCTCTTCACCACAGGTAAATGCTCGAGTCCCGCGGAAAACGCCGCCTCGAAACGGCACGAAATTCCTCGAAACGGCACCGGGTAGATTATCTGCCCCGGCGGATTGACCGGTGGAATGGCAGAAGCGCGTATCGCACACCGGCGCGGCGGGAGCCGTCTTTTCCCGTGAGCGGCGCGGCTCTCGCGATGCTATCGCGAAGACGGTCGTCGATGTCACGCGGTTCGTCGACGCGGGACGAGCTTAGGGAAGCTTAGAAAGGGACAATGGCTCCCAGGGAGCGCGGTTCCGCGATCGGTGGCAGGGCCGCCGGAAGAAGTCGAATCGCGAACGGGCGAAGCCTCGTTCGCCGGCCGTCCCCGTTGATCGCGTCTGCCCGACCACTATCCGACTACAGCCGCCTGTCCGCAGCCGCTTTCCTTCCTCCAGCTTCGTCTAATCGACGCGAAGATGTTATCGGGCATCGCGGCGACTGTCATCCGGAACGCGCGCGATCCCCGCTCGAGCCAGAGACGAGAGATTCGCAGCCGGAACAATGCGACGCGAGCTCGGCCGAGCCGATGTTGCGCCGATCGTCATCGAGCCGCGGAGACAATGCTCGCGGTTCTGCTTCCCTTCGTATCTCTCTCGCCGCGGAGAGACGGAGACAGAGAGCCCTATCCCTTCGCGCGTTTTAGCTCGAATCGTTCGCTAGCCATCGCGCGTCGTCGCGATTTCTGGCGCCTGCGCGAGATCGTTTAACGATCATTACGACGTTCCGTGATACCTAAAACGTTGATGGAATATTATTTACTTACGCGCGTCTGGCGCGAGCGATACCCGCGAGCGATACCCGCGAGCGCGCTTCGCGTCGGGAAATTTTCTGAATCGCTTTAAAAGGAGCGTTACCGTTAAACGCTATCCACTATCCGCCTTCGTTCCCTCGCCCCGTTTAATTCTCTCGTTTCGCGTTCGACGACGGCGACGGCGAAGCCTCGCGGTAATTATCCGCCGGCCTATCCGCTCTCGTTCCTTCGCCGTCCCCCGAGGAATCTCTCGATCGGGCCGCGTCGATACCGTCGTCCCCGTTCCAACGAAAAATCCTGCGCAACGTTTTCCGCGTCCGACCATCGTCGTCTCGGCTCCGATGCGCCGTCCCGATCCTCCGAAACCTCGGGGGAAGTCCGCTTTTCGAGGGGACCACGAGAACGGACTGCGACGTTGGCCCATGCTAAACCATCTCGGTGTAGATACGAGACAAGCGGCTATTTATTTTCGTGCTATATGGCCGCGCTTAGCCTGGCTTAGCTTATGCTAATGTCCCGATTCTCGGGCGTCCTCCCTGCAGCCCCGCGCGGCCCGGCTACCCTCTTTTTCTTCGTTTCCTCCGCCGCGAAGGACCCGCTCCTTCTCCGTCCTCCTCGTCCTCTTTTTCCTCCTTTTTTTCCCTCGTTCCGCTGCGAGGACCGAGCGGATCCCATCGCGACCCGCGATACCGGGCCCGAGCCCGAATCCGCCGCACTCCTCGGCCCGGCCTCTCGGCGTCCGTCTTCGCTTTTTTCCGATCTCGACGATTCCTCGCCGACTCCCGTAAGCCCGACCGCAGGCCGCGCTCAACCTTTTTACCCTCGGCGAGTCACCGAACATCCTCCCGGTTTCCCGCTCCGCGCGTTTCCTCGGCCGCCGCTTTCCCCGCGCGCCTAATTGTTCGGATAAAACGACGGAACGAGGGCACGATGCATAAAGTAGGCGCGTTTAGCTCGCTGGACCGACCGCTCCGGCGCGGCTTTCTCTCGAGATCTGTACCCGGTGACGGGCGAACACGCGAGGACACTCTCGACTCGAACGCGAAAATTCGACGGAGCCGCTCGCGACCGTAGCGCGGTGATCCCGGGGATCTCCGCGGAGAAACGGCGACGCGTCTCGACGGCGAACCGACGGTCGACGCGACGGACGCGCGCCCAGGGAGCGGGTTTTCGGCGTTCCCTCGTTTCTCGACCACCCCGTAGAGGCATGCGAAGCCACGATGCAGATATATTTATGCGAGAGGGTATTACGGCGAGTGCGGTACCTACGTGTATCTTGATGGGAAACACTCCCACGATTACGTGGCATGCGATGCAATTCCTTTTGCCTCGTACAACCGGCGAGCAACCGGCCGGCAACCGACCGGCAACCGGCCGGCAACCGGCCGGCAACCGGCGACCCACGTACTCGTTGCCATGTGCTTTTCGTTTCTTGGGCGGTCTCCGCATTGCCTTCCCGGTATTAACAGCGTAATTAAGAATATACCCTGCAGCCGGAGACCGTTTCGCTCGATTACGAGGAATCCGCTCCGCGGACGCGTCTCGTCTCGTCGCGTTTCCGCGGTGCCGCTCGTTCCTCCTCTTCCTCCTTCCCGCCGCGGAGTATCGACAGGATCGAGCTCGGAATTTTCCCGGAGCGAGTTTACGCGGAGAGCTCCGGAATCGCGGATAAACGGGCGAGTCGAGGCGGAGACGCGG